GCAAAAAAACCCTAAAACCCTTGTTAACTTTGTATTACAAGAAAACTTGGTTCTCAATCCTTGGTTGTATTCATCAAAAAAGAGATGGCAGATCGTATGACTCGAATGGCTGTCGTGAACACAGACCGTTGCAAACCGAAAAAGTGTCGGCAAGAGTGCAAGAAGATCTGTCCTGTGGTGAAAACAGGTAAACCTTGTATCGAAATCGAACAATCTACTAAAATCTCAGAGCATTTATGTACTGGTTGTGGAATCTGCGTGTCCTTTTAACGCCATTCAAATAATCAATCTCCCTAGAGATTTATCAAAAGACACAACTCATAGACATGGAGTCAATTGGGCTTATCCGCGACCAATTGGGCCTGTCCGTGTGGACATTTTTTGTTTATGGGCTATATATGGTCCAGCCCATATGGTCTGCGGACAAATATGGTTTTGGCCCATCTAGACAGAAGACAAAACCATTTGGACATGGGCCGTCCAACTTATATATTAACTTTTATATTTTGTTATTTGATTTACGATTAATTTTTCGCATATTTTTAAATTACTAGTTTTTCTTATTCTTAATTAAGAATAAATAAAATTAGATTAAAAATGTTAATACACAACAATAAAGAAACTTACCAATTATTTATCTAATGTAATTTTTTATTTTTACGGTTATAGTCTTTTGTTTCTTAATTTATTTTTATAATTTTTTTGAACTATTATTTTTTTTTATCTATTTAGTTTGGACTATTATAAATTTTTCCATTTTTTTATCCTTTGCATTTGACTTTGTTGCTGGAGACATCTCTGCAACAACATAACACACTGTTATGATTCTTCTAGCACGCGACAACACAAGAACGAAAAATAGTGAAAAACTAAGTTGTAAATGAAATTCACATACTCTGGACAATAACAAATACGAAACATAGAAAAGCAAAAGGTCATATAAACATACAAGAGGAAAATTACGTAAAACAATCAAAGGAACGTGAATTTTATATGTTAATCATCTAGTAAAAATATTATATGTATGGCAAATAGTTTAAGTAAAAACATAAAAAATAAATGGATCATTACTTATGCTGCATAATAAATATTCAAAAACATAACAGAGAATCATTTTGTTTTCTTTATAATGTGATTATTGTTTTGGTAGAGACC